CGTGTGCAGCCATTTCCCCCCCTTGCCATGTTTTTAGGGAACAGAGCACCACTGCCTTTTCCAGCATCTTTTTCCACGTGCAGAATGGCAGCTGTAAATCCCAGAGAAGGGAGGGCATAGGGAAGCAATGCTGCATTTTGCCTGAGTGCTGACATTAATTCCCTTGCTACTTTTCTTGATTTGGGGTTTGACAGCCTTAATCACAGACTGGTATTTTCAACAGCTTCTTTTCTCCATTCATTTAGTGCTGTGTAGGAAGATACAAAAAGAAATCCAAACAAAATCTCTCATCCCTATCTAAAATCCAAATCAAACCCACCTTCCCTGTGCAAAAATCTCACCACGCCTGGTTATTCTTGCAAAGGTAACTGTAAATATTCTGAAAATTAAAGTTACACAGCAATGAAATGCAGAGAAAGTGCCCCTGGCAGGAAAGGAAACAATAAAGATGAAGATTTATTTTACCATGCATGGAATTTGCATGAATTGGCTTTTCATTTAGGGATCTCACTGTGTGGTACCAAGCTCATTCATCAGCTCCACTAAACTCCACAAATCCCAGCTGCAATTTCTGTGCTCCAGGATTGGAGCAGCAAGACTGGAAGCTGCAAATTACCTTCCAAATGTAATGCTTAAATGTGCTTTTAAATAAAAATTCTGTGTCTCCAGCGCTGCCACAGGACACCAATAACCTGCACTGTGCTCATCCACAGCTGGGCTAGAAACAACACAGCTCCCCCAGAACTCAGTAATTATATTTGGGATTTTCACCTGACAATCCAGCTTTGGGGGCTGTTCGGGATTTTTTTCTCCCATAGTTTGAATTCAGCACACCCTGTAGGTTTTGTTTCTTCCTCTGTTGTTAATGAAAGATTCTTTTTTAGCATTACAGATGAACTTGGGAAGCAGTTTAAATATATAGAACTGTATATTCAGTCAGGGAATAAAGTATTTGCAAAGGCTTCAGAAAGGCACAGAACCACATTTCCAAGAAATCAGACCTCAACTCTTCCCCAAAAATATGTACATACATTATACATTTACAGCACTCTCTACCTTCAATAAATCTAACAGAACCATTCCCCTAAATTCTTCTCTAGCTGAAATTTGTTTTCATTCAGAAAGTAATTGATTTTAAAAAGTGTTTCATGACTAGGAGCAATGTGAAATTTATCTAATGCATGAATTTCTTCTACACAGTTTCTATACAAATTATGTACAAAAAGACTCCAACAAAGAAGGTAAAGGTTGTGGAGCAAATTAGAGTCAACATTTCCAAAGGAAATAATGAGTTTTAGTTCACTTTTCCCCAATGATCTTTCCCCAAAAGCTGCTCACACTGTGAAAACAGATCGAGTCAACCCATTAGTGCCAAATGCTGGCATTTCCTTTATAGTTCCTGGAAAATGAAAATCTTCACTTAGGATAGAAATAAGATTTATCATCAGCCTGTTGAGGCTTAGGTAGGAAGAGCTTTTATTTAAATATTTGGAAATGAATGGATTGGAAAAAGAAAGAGAAAAGAGGTTCAGGGAACATAAAACTCCCATGTTTTCAAATTCCTTTAAACACTATGACAGCTGTTGATAGATTTTGGCACATGCAACAGGTTTAAGAAGATAAAATGGAATAAAAAACTAAACCACTGCTCCCCTGCCCTGCAACAGCACAAACCCTCTGGAAGTGCTAATTAGTGTGAGCATTAATTAGCCAGGCACTGCCAGAAGAAAATAACCAATGGAAATCAATAATCTGCACATTAAAAAGCAATAAAAGTAATATTTATTTTAATGGCAACTAATTTGGTGTGTACCAGCAAAGCTCTACTCCCCACCCAAAGCCAGAATGAGCTTCAATTGTTCCCCACCTGGAATGGGGTGGGAAGGGCAGGCAGAGGATGCCATTGCTGAGCTCTCCGGATCCTCCCCCTGAAGGATCCAGGGAGGATGAGGAAGATGAGGAAGGGCAATTCCTGACTGTCCTCAGCACTGACAAGCAGCCCAGACCCAACAGTGATGGAAAAACCCAGCAGTGTTTGACTCCAAGCCTCTCCTGGCATGGGCAAATTTCATACTTCAGGTGAAAGGCAGATTTGGGGGATGATAATTAAAAATTACAAATTCCACTGCCAAACTGGTTCCTGCAACCTCCTGACTTTTAAATCTGAAACCTGTTTGCTTTGCTACACACTCGAGTTTGTTGCATGTACCAAACGTGGCATTTAACACATCAGCCAAAAATGGGTCCTTGAGGTTTAACAAATCACTGAAAAACCTTGGAACCAGCCCCAAATCATAAGGAACAGAGCCCAAAAGCATCTTCTGCAGCTCTCTGGAGGCTCTCCCTGTGCTGTCACTGGCACCTGCTGCCTTTAGGCCATGCACTCAGAGCTAATGGCATTTTTGGCTCTCAGCATTAAATGCCAATTTTGGTACATCCAACAAACTCGAGTGTGTAGCAAAGCAAACAGGTTTCAGATTAAAAGTCAGGAGGTTGCAGGAACCAGTTTGGCAGTGGAATTTGTAATTTTTAATTATCATCCCCCAAATCTGCCTTTCACCTGAAGTATGAATTTGCCCATGCCAGGAGGTCACCTTTCCCAGAACAGCATTTCCTGAAGATAACAGGTTCCATCTACCAAATCCTTTCTGCAGAACACAACCTGTGCACCAGGGCAGGATCAGCTGGTGTGCTCAGCCACAAGGAACACGAGCTCCCTGCTCTCTCTAGGAAATCCAATCCTTGCAGAAATTCAGGCACCTCTGAGCAGGCTCCCACTCCAGAGCTCTTCATGGCCCCACTGAGCAGTGCCTGCACTCAAGCACTTTCTCATCTCCTCATCTTTCAGCTCTTGCTTTCAGCACACTCCACTTGTGCCTGGCCCTTTTCCAGGGCCCACTTCTAAACTCAGTGGCCTCAAAGCTTTGATTTCAAGTGACTAAACAACACCCAAAAATTCAAACCAATGCTTGAGAATCGGGGTCTCTAGCTTGTCACAGTGACCCCAAGAAGAGTTAAAAGGTCTCTTTTCCCAGCCCAGGGCTCAAAGCAGGAGTCAGAGCTCTTCATTTCTCAGTCTCAAGGTTGTTTATTGTATCTTATCTATAAAATTCTATCTCCTGTCCTGCCAAGGGCCATTCAGCAAGACAGTCAGAAGCACTCTGTTATGTCTTTATACTAAAAACTATGTATACAATATTTACAATTACTTTCCAATCCCTATCACCTATGTTAGACAGTGAGCTTCTACTCTAAACCAATCTGTGAGTGCCACCATCACAGCAGGAGATGGAGGCCAAGAAGAAGAAGAAGAAGAAGGAGAAAGGCTGGACATGCCCAGATCCCCCCATCTTGCCCCCTTGAATCCCCATTCTAAAAACCCCAAAATCTACTTTTTCACCTTGTGATAAATTCACTATCATTCTACTTAATTTGTAGATCTTCACACAAGGTTGGTAATTTGCTCCATGGGTCATAATCAAACCCACAGGGGCATTTTGGGCTGTGTGCCAGGGTCTGTGGCTGCTCAGGACAGCCAGAGGGATGTCCTGGCTCCTGACACTTTTAAAAATGCCTAAACTGATCTATATCTGACTTTTAGCAGAGTGACAGGGATGTTGTACTCAGAGTACAAGGGTCCAATGCTCCACTAAAGCAAATATTACCACATCACACAGCAGCTGTGTGAAAATTCCTTCAAAGCCAAGAAATGAGAGAGTGCAAGAGGAGCAGTAACTGGTTAACAGTTCTGTGGCAGTGCTGCATGTTGAGCTGAACTGGATCATCACTTCTCCCTCTCTTTTGAAGTATGAACACCCTGCACAGCACAGTGATGCATGGATCCAGCAGGAAAGGCAGTGCTCCAAGGAGGAACTTCCCAGGCTTTGCAACACCTGTACTCCATCACACAAGGATCTGGGAGCATTAACTGTGGAGGATCAGAGTTTACAGCTCTGAAGGGTGCACTCCCTCCAGCTCAGACACCTGAACATTTCCATGCAGGGTCTCCCTCCTTTAAAATCCCTTTTCAGAAAATGAAGAACCTCCAGCACTGCAGATAAAGGCACTGAAGAAAATAATGGCAAGACTTCCTGGCAGTGTGCACTGACTTCACACACCAGCTTTTGATTTTGCTTCTTCTCCAGCTAAGCTGAAGAACAGGAACCCTGCAGGCTGTGATGCCTCCAGCTCCTGCCACAGAAATAATGAGCCTTGCCCTTGCAAAACTAACAGCACTCATAATTTATCTGTTGGAATATCCATCCCCAGCAGAACAGCCTGCACATGTATTTCCAAACAGGGAGTATTTCAGTTTTCTGGAAAGAGAAAATACCAGGCTGCTCTGTCAGGCTGCCTGCAGTGCAGCCATGAGCAGGAGTAGGAAGGAAATGCAAACTGTCAGGCCCATTCCTTCAAACTCATGGAATATTCCTGTCAGATGCAGGAATTAATAAGAACTGAGACTTTTTCCCTGTTTTCCTTTGAGGCACCCAGTGAACACAAGTTTTTCCAGCATGTACTTACCCTCAGCTCCACCTCTTTGCCAAGTAAGTCATACAGGACTGCTCCTTTGGAGGTGATTTCAGAAGCAAGCTGTCTGGCTGCCTTCAAATCAGCAATCTGGGAACACAGCAACAGCACTGAACAGCAGAACCCCCAACATCCCAAAGAATATCCATGGTATTTCTCATTCTGATGTCAAAGTTGCACTGGAGGTCTAAACTCTGCACCAGAATCAGAGTGGACAGAGTCTCCCTTGGCTTCAAACAGTCCAGGTGAGGCTCTGGCAGGTACAGGTTGCTGAGGGGAACCCCAAATACTTCAGGCCAAGGGAAAAAACCCCACAAATCTCCTCAGAACTGTGGTTCAGCCAGCTGTTGGTTCATGTGCTGCCCAGGACAAAGGGAAATCTCTCCCTTTTCATGAGCAGAAGTAAAAACTTCATATACCAAAAGGAATGGGACCAGCCTGCAATGGATGTAATGAACTTTTGAGCATCTCCCAAGTGGCTTTTTGTTATTTTTTTCAGAGAGACACATCAGACTTACAGAGAGGAAAATCACTTCTGGGTCTGCCATTTCCTCAAGAACCACAGGAACAGAGAATCATAGAATAGTTTGGTGTGGGAAGAGACTCTAAAGCCCATCCAGTCCCACTCCTGCCATGGGCAGGGACTTCTTCCACAGAAGTAGTAACAGAAATTCCTCTTATTTAGCAAAGTTCTGGGTTGTTTTTTTGGTTTTTTTGGTTTTTTTTTGTTTTTTTTAATATTTAGAGAAGGTGCTTTTAAAATATCTAGAGACAGCTTTTATTTTAAGGGCTTGAACAGCTTTGATGTCTGTTAGGGTCACAGGAAGATTACCCTTTCTTTCAATGCAGAAAATCAACCTTCAGTCAGTATTTTGCAAGCTCCTCTTGCAAAAGTTTAGTAGGTAGAAAATAATCTTTATTCCAGCCTACTCCAGTATATCTATGGTGTCAACAGGATTTCAATACAAAGAGAAGCAGTTTTGTGCCACTGTTGCCTTGTGTCCTTGTTTGCCAAGCAGTATGTATTCTGTTTACCATCTGTTAGAGATATGGCAGCTATCTTCTGTTAATTGGGCAATTTCTTATCTCTTCCACAACCACTCCTCCCTCAGAGGAGACACCTGCTGATAACAGCTATTGAATGTCCCTGCATGGCTGATAAGAACTGCAGCATCCCATTGGGAGATGCTGTGCCCAGAGGGAGGAGCCAAGCATTCCCAACTGGATATAATCTGGAGATCTGGGGCATTTCCACTGCATTCCCAGGGGAACAGCAGCTGCCTCTTCTTCCACTGGATCTTCAGAGGAAGAACACATCCTTCTCTACAGATCCCCCTGCTCCAGCAGAACCAGCCCTGACACTGCAGGAGGGCTGAGCCACAATTCCAATGGGACTGGTATGGCAGCTGGCTTCTGTTAAGTGGGCAGTTTTCCCCATCTCTTCTACAACCAGGGAGACATCTGCTGATAACAGCTATTGAATGTCACTGCATGGCTGATAAGAACTACAGCATCCCATTGGGAGATGTGAGCCCAGAGGGAGGAGCCAAGCATTCCAACCCGGATATATTCTGGAGATCCTGGAACACCAGCACAGCTTCTCCAGAGGAACAGCAGCTTCTTCCACTGGATCTTCACAGGAAGACTCCACCCTTCTACAGATCCCCCTGCTCCAGCAGAACCAGCCCTGACACTGCAGGAGGGCTGAGCCACATTTCCAATGGGACTGCCACCAACACCCTGACCCACAGTGTCAGGGCCTATTCTGACTCTGTCAGAGTTGTTTTGATTTGCTGCATTGTTTATTTTATTTTTTTTTAATTTTCTTCCCTAATAAAAGAACTGTTATTCCCATATTTTTGCCTGAGAGTCCCCCTTAATTTCAAATTTATAACAATTTGGAGGGAGGGGGGGGTTACAGTTTCCAGTTCAGGGGAGGCTCCTGCCTTCTTTAGTAGACACCTGTCTTTCCAAACCAAGACACTTTGTATTATCCTTCTTGTTGAGAATTCAGAGATTAAAACAAATCACAGAGTGACATAACCCCACCTCCTCAAAGTCTGACTGAAAACCCTTGCCAGAACATTCTGCACTTAAATCCCAGCTAGCAAACAGATGAGTTTTCCCAAGTGAGCACAAGAGTGGCAGTTTTGCTTACTTTGGAGCCCAGATCAAACTTGAACTTGGTGCTGTCCTCCTCGGGGAGCTGAGCACACTCCCCTCCCTGGCTGTTCATGGCCCCATAGAGCACTGAGGTCACCTTGAGCAGCTCCTTCACAGCGTGGCCATCAGCCTGGTACAGCTTCTTGGTGTTCAGCTTGATGTGAGCCTTGGTAGCCTGGGCAAGAAACAAATAATTCAGCAATCACAAAGAATAAAATCCTCAGTTATCTGTGCTCAAAGCTCTTTTTGGGGGCACTAATTATTCTGCTGTACAGAATAATTCCCGTAGGCCTGGTACAGCTTCTTGGTGTTCAGCTTGGTGTGAGCCTTCAGAACCTTGGCAAGAAAGAAACATTTCAGCAGTCACAAAAGAACAAATCTGTGGGAATCCATAAAATCAGAGGGGTTTGGGGAAGCTGCAAAAGGCAGCCTCAGAGAGAGCAGAACTGTGATTAGAGCTGAGCAGCAGCCATGAGATTGGTCAGCAGAAAAGTTATGTAAAAACTAGAAAAGTAAGAACAAATAGAACAATGGTCTGTGTATTAATGCTTGTCTAGAATAACTCCCTAAGCTGCAGAAAAGTTTATCTAATGAGATGTTAGGAAGTTTTATGCTTAATAATGGAGCTCTGTGCATTGTGTTTTAAGGTTTACAAGCAGGTATTGTATCCAAAATAAGCAAGCATTGTTTTAACTGTGCATATAGTGGTTGGATAGAACTACTGTCAATGTGCTTTTGCTTTGTGTGATTGGTCAAAAAACTTTTAAAGTGAGTTGTAACATTGAGTTCTGTGTCTGCTGCCTGGGATGTGAGCTGCTGGCATCTTCCCATTGTCATAGCCATGGAATGAGAGTGATGGTGGAAAATCAAACAGCTCAAGGCACGTTCCAGCAGTCCTGTCCTGTTTGTGATTTGTACAGAGCCCCCAGCCAGTGATAAAAATCCTCAGTTATCTGCACTCAAAGCTCTTTTTGGGGGCACCAATTATTCTGCTGTACAGAGTAACTCCTCCTGTTTGGACCCCTCATCATAATACTGGTATTTCTAGAAGGAATTTTTTCTGAAAGCTGTGCTCTTTCTGCATGTCAGAACATTTACAGAAAAACCCTCAAACTACCATCATTTCTTCCCTGAATAAAGATCAGCAAAACCCCTATGCATCATTTAAATTCAAATTAAGTTTAAGTGGAAAGTAAGTGCTGCCCAGGTCTTGTGATGATGCTGCAGAGAGGTAAATTTCACCTTTAATGAGTTGCAAGAATGAGATCAGTTATCCTAATTTAACTGTCTTCTCTTCCAGCAGCACCTTCCAAATGTTTTATTGCTTCTCTCAATTTTTTTCCCTGCTATGATATTAGTGATTTTATTCTCTTGTCTTCCATCTCTGAAAGCTACAGACAGAACAATAAGGAAAAAATACTAAAAATTCCAATATTATCTTTTTGTGCTTCAAAGTAATAAAGAGGGAAAATTACTATCTGTCACAGAAAGGACACAAATGTTGTTCTTGAAATTCCTGGTAAGTTTATATTATAAATGAATAGCCTCAAGGAGCCAACCACAAATTTCAGATTAAAATTTGAGGGAGTCTTTGTGGTGGCATAACTAAACAAGGAAGCAAAAAAAATTAATTGATCACCATCTATGGATCCAAAAATGAAGCTTAAAAATGACACACAAAGCACAAAAGTGACTTAACATCTGCTTTTCAGTGTATTTTTAAGATGAAACTTCTGCTGAAATGCTTCTCCTTTGGGAATGCTGCAGCAGATAGAGCTTATCCATGAGTCACTGGTGGCATTACACAGCTTTGGTTTCTCAGTGCTCCTGGAAGGAATTCACATTTCCTCAGGCTCTGACAGAGCAGGATCTTCAAACTGGGGGAAAAGGCTCAGACACTACAATATTTGGTACAACACAATGATAAACTCTGCACTGAATAATGGACTGAAGGAAAAAATCCTGTGAAACTGAAGAGAGGAAGCCCCACACTTCAAACCATGGATTTGGCTCTAGCTTTGCCAAAGAAACAAAGCAAATGGATGCTGGCTTTAAAATCAGATTTTAATTCCCAATCAATATTTTCCTCTTGCCTCTCTCATCTCAAAATCTCAACCCAGCAAAGGAAAATGACTTTGTGTCTGTGTGCAGAGACAGGGAATGGCTGGAGCTGTGTTAGGAGAGGGTCAGGCTGGATCTCAGGAAAAGCTCCTTCCCCAGAGGGTGCTGGGGCACTGGACAGGCTCCCCAGGCAATGGGCACAGCCCCAAGGCTGCCACAGATCCCAGCTCAGGATCTTCTGGGATTCCTGAAAATTGAAGCCCAGAGTTCCAGAACAGGTTCCTGATGTCGTGCACCTGAGGCAGGGGAATACAACACCCACACTACAAAAAATCCCAAATTGCTTTTGAAATGCTGCTCTCACAATGACCTCAAATGAGCCAAGACAAAGTGAAAAGCCAGGTGTGTTCATCTCCATTCCCTTGCAGTAGAAGCAATCTAAAAAATTAATTGCAGAAACAGCAAGTATTCCATTACAGGAGAAGTGGTCATTAAATTGACAGACTCTGTTAAACATCCCCTATCCAAAGGGGACTGATGCACTAAATTATAAAAGATGTTGTTAGGGACAGAAGTTCTCATTTCAGCTTCATTCACCCTCAAGAGAGTAAAATCAATGTCTAGTAAGAGGAAGAAAAATGTTTTTCATTCAAAGGCTACTTAAAAAGAGAAAAAATACACAGACAAGTATATATATTTTTTTCAGACTGGCACAATGGCACTGTGGAGTCAAGCAGACAATTTTGTATTTGGAAAGTCACCTCCATCATTTCATCTTTGAATCACCTATTTGATTTGCTGTTTTATTATATAACAGTTTTAGTTTTACAGAACTATTAAAAACCACAGCTGTTTATTCTGAGATCAGATGGTTAAAATGCAACAAAAATTATAAATATTCAGTAAGAATAGCAGCCACAGCCAGAAAATTTGCTTAACTTCACAATCTGCTTTATTAATATCATGAAGCCAAATTTTTTGTGAAGAATGACTCTTGAAAAAGGTTTTGTGCCCTTTGGTTGCTGAGTTTGTTTTCATGAATGAATTTCTATGAGATGAACTCATTGGAGGCTTTTTGTTGCACTCTACCTCAAATTTGGATCCAGGTGGGTTTAAGCCAGGTATTGAGCCCCAGTGATCAGGGCAGCTCCAGGGGGGGAATTGATTAAAAACCCACCTAAAGCAACCTTGAAGGCACTTCAGAACTTTGGGTCTGGGAACTTTTGGTAAGCTCTCAAAGTGCCAGTGTCCGGTTTTNAGTTTCTGCTTCATGAGATTCCCATGGGGATCAGGCTCACCTGGACCACACTCACCAAGGCTCAGGGTGTTATTTTACAGCTTTGGTTTTCCCCAGAAAGTTTATATTTGTCATAAACACCAAATGGAGCCCCTCTGTCTGGGCTGGGCACAAATGGGCAATTGAAAACATGATCAAGAAGAACACAAGTGGTTTTTAACCTCATTTCTCCAATGTTTTTTAAATTATGAATTAAAAAAAAATTCAAATTAACAGACATTCTTCAGAATATCTGACATTCTTCAAGCACAAAAATCAGAAAATACTCATTTGTGCTTGCCCTGTTGGGGGGAAAGTGGGTAAAAAGTCCTCAGGCTTCTTTTGCATCCCAGAAAAAAAAAAATCCTGTGGGCTGCTGTACACTTCAATATACTCTAAGTCACCTTTCACGTACTGCAGGAAAAAAAAATTAAATTAATGTGGTCATGATGGTGAAAAACCAACCCATTTCTGCTGGGTTGTTTCCCAGCCCACCTGCCAGACAAGGTTTTAGGTTTACAAATTGCTCGTAATTCTGGGAAGGGAATCTGCCAGGTGGTTTGCTCAGAGAAGGGCAAAAAAACTCCCCCAAATCAGGCAGGGTAGGAAGGGATGAGGTTTTCATTTGGCTGGTTCATGGAATTGTACAGACAATTCATGCTCACTTTTTTTGCATCCACTTTTGCCTTATATTTCCAAGCTGGGCACTCATTTTTGCTCTTCCAATCAGAGCCTCCCTTATTTCCCACCTGGGACATTAATTTTCACCTAAATTCTGTTTTCATGCCTGGGCTGCTGCCTTATCCACAGGATCTGAGGTTTCTGTCTGCAGCTGGGGGCTGGCTCAGCCTTCTTGCAGACTTCTTGGCCTTTGAGGAGTTTCATGAGCAAACTCCTTCCTTCCCACTTCGTTTAATACAAACTCATCCCTCCCTTTGCCAGGAGGAGGGAAAGTGGCCAGGGAATGGAGCTGCTCTTTGTGATGAGGAGCCTGGGGAAATCTGCAGGTCTGGGGAAGGGAAATATGCAGGAATGTCACGTTGGCTGTAATTGCAGTGCAGAGCAGCTCTCCCTGCTAATGGGCTGGCATTAGAGGAGAGCTGGGTGCCCAGGATAAGCTGAAGCCCATGGATCAAACCCCAGGGCTAATAAATCAACAGCTGCCCTTTGGTGGCTCAGCTGATGAGCAGGAGAAGCTGCTTAAGATGGAAAAACACCCCCAAAAAAAGGAGATTTCCAAATCCATCTCCATCTGTGTCTGACAGGTCAGGAGAGGAGATTGGCTCTTCATTTATATTCAGTGGAAAACAAAATTAAATGAAAGCAAAATTACACACCCAGCCTCCATTAGCTGCCTCCAAAGCAAGTGCCATTTGACCCACTCAAAGCCAGCATTAATTGCTAAAATTTCCCAAAGTGTGCCTGATTGCTGGGCTCCAGTTTCAGATGGCTCAGCACAGCTTGGGTTAAACCAGCCCAGCCCTCCTTGGGAGCTGCAGGTCCAGCTCATCCTCACCACAATGCACAGGGAATCCAAAAATCCTCATTTCCTCATCAAATATCCCGACTTGGAAGAGCCCCATAAATATCATGAGATGCTCTGGTGTGTTTTTCACCAACATTTTGGCTTTTTTGGCTTTTGATAAGCTTGGACTTATCACCAAAGGGGTCACAATTATCACCAAAGGGGTATTGGGGACAGCCAAAGGTGACACAGAGATTCCATCACCAGAAGGCATGAAAAGGCACTTTATTATTAGAAATTCACAGTTCTNTTTTCTAAGCCTTCTGACGTTGACATTCTTGTAGCAAACTTTTGCACACACTTTCTGTAAATA